CATTATAGCCGCATTGTGGTTATACACATTATAGCCGCATTGTGGCACTCGTATGGATACCTCATCGCTTGTTCGTATGTACCCGTCCACATGCACATCATCGCAATCGGGTGTTGCCTGGACGCCACAGATCTTGTTGGTGTGCACCAACCCCGTGTTAGCAATCCCATGCTAGGGAATGACATAGGTCACCTTTCTGCCACATAGTTCTTCCTGTGCTGGTATAAACATGATACACTGGACTTTGTCTTCGGTGCTTTACCTTACTTTCGGTGCTTGTTCACGTGCTTTATTGTGGTATCGGGTTGCGAGGTGTGAGTGAGTATGTCAGTGGTCTCATCATTTTATGTCGTCTTGTGTTTCAATTAGTTCGGACATTTTGTTGTGTGGACTTGGTATGCTGAACCTTTTCTTCAGTGCCTGTTCTCGTATTTTATTGTAGTATCTGGTTGCTAGGAGTTAAACTAGCAGGTCAGTGGAGAGTTTTATGTCTTTTTTCAAAAACATAAAGCCCAAAGACTCCTGGAGTGCTGTTTAGGGTTTAGCTATTGATGGTTTAGGGTTCGCCTTTTTCAAAGAGTCTTTGGGCTTTATGGTTTGGATGTTGATTCATTTACCACACTACGCCAATCCGACAAATATAGCAGGCTAAACTGTACTGTACATTAGGGTTTAGGGTCAAATATTCTCCGATACCCCGTTTCGATTTGCAATGAACAGATTGTTGATAAGATCAAAGGCCACATCCTTTTGATGAGTCAGCACAAGTATGCCTCCAATGTTGTGGAAAAATGTCTCATGCACGCCACGGTCGAGCAACGCGATGCAATGATTGCCGAGGTATTAAATGAAGCGGACGGGTATGTAGGCCAGAACAAATAAGAGCGTGTATGGGATGTGTATACACGTTGCCCTCTGCATGTATATATATATATATATCCGGCAAATCATCAACATTCATGCGTGTGCATGATAACAAAGATCATAGTCGCATTTCAGTCTATAGTTATGTTTCTTTGGTCGCTTTGTTTGGTATATATGCCTTTGTACAGATTTATCGTCCATTGCAAAGTCTTGTATGTTTATACATTTGCGTTTCCCAGGTATGCATATTCGTGTCTGCATAAAGTATCCCGTCTGTGTTAATCACACGATAAGCTGCTTCTGATGCGATATATATATATATATATATACATATACATGTGTGTGTGTGTTCGTGTCTGCCTCTACTATCCTTTCTGTTCTAGTCACAATATAGGTTGCTTGCCGTGTATAAGATTGTCAAGCAGTGCTTCTCACGGGCATCCTCGTACACACACATGTATTCGTATTCGAATACCCTTCATACCTTTTGTCGCAGATAACATCCTTTTTTTCTCTTTATTTGTCTTTTTCTCTCGCGGCGAAATTTATTGGTGTTCAATCTCATGTCTTTGCGTGCACATTCACACACATTCACTACAGTACTATACAACAACTGCTATACCTCGCTGTCATTCAATACAGCAATATGTAGTGAGGTGAGCTGGTAGTATCCGATGATTCAAGATCAATACACAACATCATTACTACGACAGTTACGGTACTCTCCGTCACTAGACATAACATACGCATCAGCATCCACAACGTTACTAAACATCAACTGCTAAATCTCTCTTCTATAGTGAGGTGAGCTCGTTGTATCTGATGATGAAAGATCAATACGCAAACTATGTGGTGCAGAAGATGCTGGACGCAGCAGGTATGTCTAGTCTGACTACGCTGAGTCGGGTTGCTGCATGCCGAACACACCCCCATATCCTACTAGGTAACCCCTATATCCTATTCGGCAACCCCCATATCCTACTAGGCAACCCTCATATCCTACTAGGTAACCCCTATATCCTATTCGGCAACCCCCATATCCTACTAGGCAACCCCATATCCTACTAGGTAACCCCCATATCCTACTAGGCAACCCCCATATCCTATTAGGCAACTCCTATATCCTACTAAGTAACCCCCATATCCTACTAGGCAACCCCCATATCCTACTAGGCAACCCCCATATCCTACTAGGCAACCCCTATATCCTATTAGGCAACCCCCATATCCTACTAGGCAAACCTCATATCCTACTAGGCAACCCCCATATCCTACTAGGTAACCCCCATATCCTACTAGGTAATCCCCATATCCTACTAGGTAACCCCCATATCCTACTAGGCAACCCCCATATCCTACTAGGTAACCCCTATATTCTATTCGGCAACCCCCTGTATCCTACTAGTAACCCCCATATCCTACTAGGCAACCCCCATATCCTACTAGGCAACCCTCATATCCTACTAGGCAACCCCCATATCCTACTAGACGACCCCCATAAAAATGGTTATGAAGAAGTTTTCTACGGAGTTAAATGGGTATTTATCTGTCGGTGCCACGCATTTCTGAAAGTTTGAGGGCAGCAGTTTTCATAGTACAGCTATCGTGTTCCTACAATTGCTCTATACACGAGCACATAAGGTGTTTCTAATTGATGTATACAAAACCATGCTAATCTGATTGGAAACACACGTGAGGAAGCAGATTGGAATGGGGTTGCAGGTCTGTATTTTGTTTCCACGGATGTGTGAAAATGAGCAATTCTGTTTGTGTTACCATTTGGAAGGCGATCGTTCCTTGAGCGTGTATATATTTAAATCCCGAATAATTTTGGGTATGTTTTCATTGTATACTCACGAGTTCCCCTGATTTAATGAAAATAATTTTGGGTATGTTTTCATTACATACGCACGAGCTCCCCTGATTTAATTAAAACAAATTGGGTATGTTTTCTTTACATACGCATGAGTTCCCCTGATTTAATGAACTTTTTATCACTTCCTTTCATGGGTATTCTTGGCGTTTAATACATTCCCATGGATACCCGCGCATTCCTATTTGTACTCGGATGAGCCTGTTTGCGTTGTATGTTTAATATAATTTACGCACACGGAGGCCACTCATGTATTCACGTGCCACACATGCGTGCAAGCATCCATGAAAGGGTTGCTGCATCTGGCCGTTTGGTGTTATAATACTGTGATTCGATTGTGTGATACGAGTTTGGGCATATAGAGTACTGCAAGAACTGTACACGTGGACAATAAATATGGCCACAGGTCGCAGTATAATTCGGTGTGCCTGTATTCTGGTTTTGCCCTTTTGGGAAGGGTATTAGACCTGTATATCTGATCTTCATTCGGGCGTATATCGAGTGTTTAAGCGTGTATGTGGTGCAAATTCAATACAAATCTTGCCACCACATGTACTGCGAATAACATGTGACAGTACAGGTTTTTATATACACCAATATATATGCACAGACATGATAACTTCCACCTATGATACTAAACAACTTATCACCCATTGTCATGCCAGGTCCAACTCTGCATGACCAGCTGCTGGCAGCTTTAAAACCACATGTCGTGGCGTTACGTCGGTTTCCCTACGGAAAGCACATAATCCTGAAAGTGGAAGAGATGACGTAGGGTACGACGACCTAATTGGGTGGCGAATTTGCTAGTTACGCCTAGGATATTGACGTCGCAGGCCTCGCACCCACTATAATACAATATATATATATTTATATATATATATATATCATTATTGCGGCATACTCCAGGCCTAGCCGTGATGCCTCGTTAAGTACCATATAAGCATATGCGAATTTCGATTCCGCAGTCGTAAAAATTCGTACTTCAGAATTTTCAGCGGCACCATCAATCAAAACCAAAAAAATGTAGTGTACTATAGAATAATAAGAAGACGGGAAACTTGGATTTTGGCAAACAGGCAACCCATGTATAAAGCCTAAACAATCTATGTAACATTTCATAGTCATGTAAGTAAGCTGTCGATCAATAAAGCTTTCTTACATGAGTTTGAGGTCGATAGAGTCTGGTAAAGAAAACATGCACACGTTAAGGAACAAACACACGCATATATATATATATATACATATACATATACATATACATATACATATATATATATATATATATATATATATAACTAGATAATATACTATACACACACACACTA